AAGGATCCAGTCCTGGTCTGCAGGTAGGCTCAGAGGGAATGCTAGAGGGAGAGTCTCTGGTCTGATCACTGCTGCCGCCGCCTTCCTTGAGAACATGTTGCACCAAATGTTTTCAAGGAACAACTCTGACAGGTAATAATGATAACACTGCTATTACTATGACAAATAATAATAATAATAATAATAATAATAATAATAATAATAATAATAACAATGATGATAATAATCATTATTATTGTCATCATAGTAAAAATATGAAAAATAATAAAGGAGGCAGTGATTTAGGTTGGTACTGTGAGTTTCCAGTGCATTTATCACAGACCAGATACTAAATTGGGTGAAATTTGGTACAACATGTTCTCAAGGAAGGCGGCGGCAGGAGTGATCAAACCAGAGACTCTACCTCTAACACAGGGTGTGTTTGTGTCTACCTGCAGACCAGGACTGGATCCTTCTACAGAGCAGGTCTCTGAACCCCAGTGACTATGGATGGACATTATGGGTATGAGCCAGTTCCGTTCAGTATTATGTAAGTATGTGAACTAAAAACTACTGTGAATGTAAATGTAAAGTGAGTGTGGCCTTTTTCAACAATGGGGTGAAATATAAATGCTAACAATCAACTCAGAATCATAAAAAAACCTGATCTGACCCCTCATAAGTTACTTAAGACTGATTTTTTTTTTTTTTTATCTATTTTTTGTTTAATTGTTTATCAGTACCCTAAATTAAGCAGGTTTTTTTGGGGTTTCCCACGGGAGTTAACCTTCAACATTTTAAAACATGTTATTACACAACTTTACAAACATATTGGTGGAGAAATTATTTGGTAACGACTTAGTTGGCAGATTTGTGAATGCCCTTACTACTATGTTAAAACTCTGAATGCTGCTGATGCTTGTGGCGTTGTATTCAAAAGCAGAGCGTACGCTGGATGGACAGCGTCTGGAGATGGAGCAGCTCATTTATAAAACACATGCAAACACAACTACAGAGAGCTCTCTCTCTCTCTCTCATGCCCACACCTCAGCTGTTAAAGAAAAAAAAGCAAACCTGTGATGACAGAATACGATAATTACATTAGCATATGAAGGAGTTGGATTTCCGATAATTTGAAGCCCTAATGAACTACAAATTAAAAGTACACGCGGATTAAAAGCACGAGCGGGTAGCGTTAAGACGAGACAATGAAGACGACCTGAAGCAGAAAGAGGTGATAGATCTTAGAGATAGAGGAAGATCGTTCTGGTTAGAAGGAGCTTCATATTGGAATAACTTCTTTTAAAAGTCTAGGGACAAAGAAAACGGGAGAAAGCAGACGTCTGGGTCCATATGAAGATCTGCATGGGACCAGAAACTGATTCAAACAGGAACCGAACCAAGTGAAACGTCCTCCTGAATTTAGGCAACAACCAATTCAATGATTCACATATGAGGCAGCAGCAGCTAGAAGGTCGCC